CACACACTTAATTATTAATGTCATATCTTTTTATTTTAATTAATTATTTTTTTAATTTATTAAAAAATAAAAAATATAAGTTTTTATAAAAAGTAAAATAAAAAATATAATAAATAATTATATTAAAAAATATAATATTAATTATTTAGAGAATAATAATAACAGTAAAAGAAAGAAAAGGGCAGTAATAAATTTAAAGGTGATATTTGAGGATATATATAACAAGAAGATTGCATTACGAGTCTCAAAATCTTCGATAACCTTACACTACTGGTATATACTCCCCTCACACAGTTACACCACTGTAATATACTATAGTTACATTGTAGTGGCAAGGTTTATAGAGGGTCATTAATGACGATGTCAAAGCATTTAACTATGATAAACATTAGTACGTGTGGGTAGCGTAGGGTATGGTTCGGTAATCGTGCCATGCTTAAACTCTAGTTATCGAAGCATTCCAATAACACTTTTAGCCTACTGATCTCGTACCAAGATTTGTATTATGGTAAATGGTAAATGGTTAATGATTACTGATCGTTTTTAGCGGTAATTAGTTTTTTATTCTGCTGTTAACCAATATTGCCAAATCTGGTATATACCATTAATTTCATATTTGAAGTTTGAACTAAAGCACAATCACTTAAAAATCAATGATTTTTTTGGCCAAATCCCAACAAAACAATGCCATAATTGCTTAAAAACTGAAAAGGGATAGCAAGAGAACCATTTAATTCCTTCTTATTTTCTCATAATTCATAAGAAATGGAAGAAAAAGACAAAAAATGATTTACTATTGTTGCCCATGCCAATCAAATGCCGATAGAACTAAGTCTTTACTTGAATTGAGGGACTCCAAGGGGAAGGGGAGGAGAGCGAAGGAGAGGTTTCTCCTCTCTCTTATTTGGATAACAACATTAAGGGAGGGGGACAAAAGGGAAGATAGATGAAAGGAGATGGACTCCCTTGAAATCCCTTATTTTTAATCCCTTTAATTTGGAGGGATAAAGAGAGATTCAAAGGGATTCCATTTATTTTTATTTTTATATTTTTACTTTTTTAATAAAATATGTAATTAAAATTTTTATTGTAACTTTAATTTTAATATATAAATTTATAAAATTTTAATTAATTTTATAATTATTTTTCTTTAATTTATTTATTAAATAAAAAAAATATAATCTTCCCTTCCCTCTCCTTCCTCTTTTTTAATCTAGGCAGAAGGTGCACTTTAGTCTCTTTATTTCAATTGTTATGGCATATCAGCCCCTCTACTTAAAAGCAAAGCAAATCAGCCCCTCTACTTGACAAAACTTGCAAATCAACCCTTTGTTGACGAGTCAACTTTCCATTTGCCTTTCTATTGTCTTGTTAATTAGGGATGACTTGGCGATGAGTTGGATGACAAAGAATAAATTAATAATAATTTTAATTACTTATGAGATCTAGGTATTTATAAATTACATAAAACCCATCCAGCATCGTTTTGTTCCTCAATTCTTCTCAGTTTTCTCGGTCCTCTCCCATCAACCCTAGTTCCAAACCCCATACCCCTTATCTTGAATCCAAGCTTCAGTTTCACTTTCACTCTTCAAAAATTTTAAGCAAAAACATTGAAATTGATGTTGAAGATGTTGAAGAACCCAAGCCCACAATTTCCAATCAAATCTTTAGGTCACCCTCCAAATCAAATTCATACAAATTGGTTTTCTTTTCTTCCCCTTCCCTCTTTTTTTACTGATGCTCTCTTCTTCCTTTCTCCTTTTTGATTTTTTTCTCTTCTTGGCCTTCCTTCTTGTCCCTATCCCTCTTTATAAATTTCCAAATCTAGTTCGATAAAACCTAGATTTTTGGGTTTGTGGAACCCAAATTAAACCACAGATTTCTAGGTTCGCAAAACCTAGATTGAACTAGGGCAAACATGTCACTTTAGCTACAGGATATCTTAAGTGGTTTACGATCCAAGTAAAAGGGGTAATTGCAAGAAGGGATTCATGGCTGTTCAAATTTTTACTTGAGCTGATCCCAATCTTGCCAAAATCTCAAGTTGCTCGTTATGCTTTGTCTGTTGGTCCTTTGTTCTCAATTAGGTATTGTGCCCTGACCTTGATTTGCATATTTTGTTTAATGCTGGAAGTGAGATTAATTAACTGTTTAATTCCTCATGTATTTGTGTTGTAGTAGATGATTGTTACTCAATTGACTGCTTTGAGGTGTTCATTATCTAGCTTGGATAATGAAAGAA